CTCCCTCCCCCTCCCTCTCCTCTCCCTCCCTCCCTCCCTCCCTCCCTCCCTCCCTCTTTCCCCTTCATTCCTCTACCTCCCTCCTCAATCCACTCCCCCCTCCTTTATCTCTCTCTCTTTTTCTCTGCCTTTCACCGCCCTCTTCTCTTTTTTCTCTCCGTTTTCTCCAAAAACTTGTGACAAACTTTTTATAGATTGTACCAAAAAGTACCTGGACTGTCAAGATGTTGGGAGTTTGTTATTTGTTGTTGTTATTATTGTTATTATTATTATTATTTGTTGTTATTTTGTTGTTATTTGTTTTTATATTATTGTTATTATTACTTTTATCATTACTATTATTATTAATTCATATTTTATCATTATGGCTATTATCATATTATTGGTTATTTATTATTATTATTATTATTAATATTTATTATTATTGTTTTAGTTGTTATTGTTATTATTAATGAGTGTTGCTGTTATATTAATTTATATTACTCTATTATATAAAATTATCATCATCATTGTCATTGTTATTATTGTTTCTTTGATTATTATAAAAACTCGCTTGCCTTTTCCTGTCTTTCGTCTTTTAAACTTTCCCTCGTTTTTGCTTGCCGCCTCTTTCGCTTCCTCCTGTGAGTAAACGGTCTCCTGCAGCTACTCTTACTCTCTCTAATGGTTCCCTTCTTCCTTCTCTTGCTCCTTTTTCCTCTTCTTCTTCTTTTTTCTCCTCTCTTCTCTTCTTTCTTTTCTTCTTTTTCCTCCTCTTCTTTTTTCTCCTCCTCCTCTCCTCCTCCTTGTTCTCCTCTCCTCTCTTTTCCCTCCCCCTCCTCCACACAACCTTCCTTCTTCCTTTCTTCTCTTCTTCTCCTCTTCTCTTCCTCTTCTTCTCTTCTTCTTCTCCTTCTTCTCCTTCTTCTTCCTTCTTCTTCTCTTCCTTCTCTCTTCTTCTTCTTCTTCTTCTTCTTCTTCTTCTCTTCTCTTCCTTCTTCTCCTCCTTCTCCTTCTCCTTTCTTCTCTCCTCCTCCTCCTTCTTCCTCCTCCTCCTCCTTCCTCCTCCTCCTCCTCCTCCTCCTCCCTCCTCCCTCCCCTTCAATTCTCTCGTCGCTGCTGACTCCGACTCGGGATGCCGTTTCGCCGTTCGCGAGTGAGAGTGACCGGACTCGGAACGCAGCGACGACTCGACGAGTGAGCTGACGGCGGCACCCGAGTGTCCCTGTGCCCTGTGTGTCACGTGGTGTTTCGGTGACTTTGCGGAGGTCGGGTCCAGGTCATGACGCATTTCCCTTTTTACGGTGCATTTTTATTTTATTTTTTCTTTGTTTGTTTTCATTATTTTCCTTTTTTTTTTTTTTTGCTTTCGTTTTATATAGAGTGTATACCGAGATGGTCTGTGCAGTAGATTAAGAACATGAAGCAGAGGGGAAGTAGGAAGAGAGTGGGTTACATAAAAAAGCAGAAGGTAGGTAGGCAGACAGGTAGGTAAGCAGGCGCGCAAGCAGGGCAGGCATGTAGGTAGCCAGGCAGGCAGGGACAGTCAGGCGTGCAAGCGAGCAGACTGACAGCCAGATAGACAGACAGGCACCGGTCAGTTAAGCAGACGTCATGCACGCAGAGGACAGACACGCAGACTCAGGGGAAACAGACAGACAAAGGCAAAAGTAAGAGGAGAGTGAAGGGGGAAAAATAACGGAGCGGGAACAGTAGAAAGAAGACGATAAAAGGAGACATGTTGATGGAGAGAGCGAGTGGTTAAAGGGTCCATAAAAATGCACGAGATATCTTGGCAATGGCCGCCGATTGGGTTCCTGTGTTGCCCCGGTATGAGAAATGGAAAGACGAAAGATAGGAAGAGGAATAGAAAGAGAAAGAAGGGAGGAGGGACAGGTAAGAAAAAATACCTTGTAAAAGTCCGTTGAATAATGCATCATCTGTTCTGTATTGATAACGGGCGCCCCGAGTGTTCAGGGGGAGAGGGAGATGGCACTGTCGAGGAGAGTGCCACAGAAATTCTCTATCTAGGTGATGGGAAGTGATAGGAAGTGAGAGGGGAGAGGGGAGGAGGGAGAGAGGAGAGGAGAGAGGAGGAGAGAGAGGAGGAGGAGAGAGTGAGAAGGAGAGAGAGAGAGAGAGAGAGAGAGAGAGAGAGAAGGGAGAGAGACGAGAGAGAGAGAGAGAGAAGAGAGAGGGAGATAGAAGAGAGAGAGAGGGGAGGAGGGAGGAGGGAGACAAGAGAGAGGGGGGAATAAGGAGAAAGTGGGAAAGGAGGGAAGGGAGAACAGAGAGAGAGGGAGGCTATAGAGATGGAGAGAAGAAAGAGAGTTTGGGAGTAAAAAGAAGAAATGGAAGGAAGAGATGAAGTGAGTAGAAAGTTGAGGGCGATAGAAAGTAAAATAAATAAAGATTAAGCAAAGGGAGAATAGCGTGCAGACCAGAAGAGTAAGAATGATGGAAAAAGGATTTTGAAAAGGAATGAAAAATTGACAAGAGAAAGAATCCACTAACTCAAGCGGGGGTCAAAGGGGGGGGGGGAGAAAATTGAGGGGCAGATATGACAAGGTAAGTTTTCTCTGTAGCGATTAAGAATTACTATTCCGTCTTAATCAGTTTTGATCATCCCAAACCTCCCCTTTCGTGTTCTCGTGAAGGTCGGGTAGGGGGGTGTATGGGGGGAAGAGAGAAGAATGAGGACGGAGAAAAGAAGAGAGAGCAGGAGAGGAAGGAGAGGAGAGGAGATGAGAGGAGAGGAGAGAGAGGAGAGGAGGGAGAGGAAGGAGAGGAGAGAGAAAGGAGAGAAGAGAGGAGAGAAGGAAAGGGAAAAAAGAGAGGAGAAGAGGGAAGGAAGAGAAGAGAGAAAGAATGAGAACGAAGGGAGAGAAGAGGAGGGGGAAGGAAGGGAAGGAAAGAGAAGAGAGGGAAGGGAAGCAAGAGAAGGAGCTTCAAAGGAGAGAGATAGAGATCATAAACGAGGAGAAGAAGAAAAAACAAAAAAAAAAGAAAAAGAAAGAAGAGAGGAGTATTTGGGAGAGAAACGCTCTCATTGTTTATAATTACAGAAAACTTCGCCTGGCATTCTTTTTTTTTTTCTTTTTACTTTTTTTTTCTTTTCCTTTACTTCTTGTTCTGTGTATTTGCCGAAAGGAAATTGTTCTTCGTCGTTTGTGCGTGGCCGTGTTCATTCCCCTTATTGTTATGGTGAACGTCGGCGGATTCCCTCGGCGATCCGCCTGGGTTGGTTGGGGATCGTATTATGGGGGGGAAGGGGAAGGAGGAGGGGGCTGGGAGGGAAGTTAGTGGGGAAAGGAAGTGGGACGGGTAGGGAGGAGGAGGGGCTGGAGGGAGGGGTGGTAAGGCGGATGTGAGGGGAGGGTTAGGGGATGTTGGTGGGAGAGGTATAGGAATTGGAGGAGGGTAGGGAGGGAGGTAGCGACGATTGCTGGAGGAGAGGGGGTAGGGGGAATGGAGGGGACGGGTAGGGGAAGTGGAAGGGAGGGGAGGGGAATGGACAGCACGGGGTAAGGGGGAAGTGAGGACAGGGAAGTGGAGGAGTGGAAGCCGGAGGATAGGAGAAGTGGAGGAAGGGGTAGGCGGGAAGGGCCCCACCCCCTTGAAGCCCCCGTTCATGTTTTTTCTTATCCCACGGCGCTATGTCTTCTGTGTGATTTTGCCTCATACTCTCCTCTCTCTCTCTCTCTCTCTCTCTCTCTCTCTCTCTCTCTCTCTCTCTCTCTCTCATCTCTCTCTGCTCTCTCTCTCTCTCTCAAATCTCTCTCTCTCTCTCTCTCTCTCCCTCTCCCTTTTTCTTATCCTCTCTCTCATATTCCATCCATCTTCCATCCCTCCCTTCCCTCCCTTTTCTGTCTATTCATCTATCTATCCATCTATCGGAAAAGAAAGGGGAAAAAGGTAGCAAAAAAAAAGCGGAGAGCTCAGCTGAGATTTCACTGGAGGGTTTCGTGTTGGCCAAGACGTTGCGCGAGAGAAAGGACACAAGGCAGAAACACTGTCGTAATGGCCTCGCAGTGACCGGGGGGAGGGGTGGGTGGGGTGCGGTGGGTGGGGGGTGTTGGGTGACCGGGTAGTGGGGGGTGTAATGGGTGGGGTGGGGTGGGGGGGTGTTGGTTGACGTGGTATTGGAGGTGTAATTCTGTTTCGAGTGTTTTTGTTTGGTGGTTCGGTTTTTGATTGTTTGTTTATTTGTTTGTTTTGTTATTTTTGGGTATGTGGGAGGACTGATACTTGTTGATTTCTTCTTCTTCTCTCTCTCTCCTCCCCTCTCCGCTCCCTCTCTCCCCCTCCCCCCTTTCCCCTCCCCTCCTCTTTCTCTCCCTTCCTCCCCCTCTCTCTCCCTCCCTCCCTCTCTCTCTCTTCCTCTTCATCTTCCTCAGACCCTCTTACTCTCCGTCTTCCTCTCTCCCTCTCCCTCCTCTCTCTCTCCCATCTCCTGTTCCTCCCTCTTTCCCTCCTCTCCCTCCCCATCCCTACCCCCTCACTATCCCGCCCTTCCCCACCTACTCCCATTTTCTAATTAAAGTCTGTTTCCCTTGTCCAATCAAGAAACTGAAAGAATTTGCCTTTACATGCACCAGAATCGTAAAGTAATGGAGAGGAAATGAAACGAAGAACCCCATCTTATTAAAGCAAGATTTCAAATCATGATTTGATTTTCTCTCCCCCCCTCCCCCCTCCCTCCCCTCGTCTGCCTCTATCCCCATTCTGCTATCTCTTACAAGCTTTCCCCCCCCGTGACCTTGTCTCAACCCTTCCCTCCCTCAAACTTTAGCCTTCCTCCCATCTTTGCCCTTCTTTCCTCTAAATGTCCCCTTATATCTTCCAATTCCTCCACCCTCCCACAACCCTCCCTCACCCTTCTATTCCCCTTCTCCTTCCCATCCCCCAACCCCATAAACCTTCCCCATCCCAACCCCATAAACTTCCCCCTTCAATCCCCTTCCTTCCCTCCCCCTTTCCCATTACCACCCCCCCCTTACCCCTTACCATCTCCTCCTTACCTCAATTACAGGTAATGGGCTCGCATTTCCGGCAGACACAATCAGCAGGTATTGCCAGGTTATCAGCTGTTCTCGTCTGGATGCTGCCACTGTGTCTTTTGCGATGCTCAGGCTTCCTCTCATGCGGATTGACGGTCGATGATGATGATGAGGGCGGAAAAAATGACTGTCCTTTAAGATGAGGGTATTATTTTTTTATATCGATATTGTCCTTTGGTTTGATACTTGTTGAAATTCCATGATCGAGTTCCTTGGTTTTATTTTGATTGTTTTTTTGTTTTTGTTTTTATTTTTCCTTCTGATTGAAGAAAGGGGAGGTATGGAGTATTTTATTTTGAATAGAATTTTCACTTGTGAATTAAATTGGTTCCTTGTGGATCACTAGAACTCGGTGGATCTTGGGTTCCGAAAGGTAAAATACTTTGCCCTAGTCTCCCATAAAGTGTGGAGTTTACTTTCAGAGAAAACGGTATAGCTAAAGGGGAGACTCTGGTAAAAGTATTCAGCTTTCACCACTCGTAATTGTATTGGTATTATTATTGTTGTTGTAATTCATATTGTTGTTGTTATTGTTTTCGCTATCCTTATTAATATTGGTGTTGTTTATATACCATTATTGCCATTCTTATCATTATCATTGTAATTATTATGGTTATCATTATTAGTATTGATATGTCAAGAATTTCTTCATTATCATGATGTTAATAGAGTAATTTTTGTCATGATCATAATTATCGTTAATGTCGTATGTTTAGCATCGCCGTATTATTGCCACCACCGGCATTATTATTGGTATTATATTCATTTTCATCTTCATTTTTATCATCATCAGCAGCAGCAGCAGCAGTCATCATCAATCATCATCATTATTCCATCGCCATCACCACCACCACCGCTTATCATCACCACCACCTTCGCGATATTGAAATTGGAATAGCCATTGTTGCTATTTTCACAAATGGTTAGAGTAGATATTATTCCAACCATTTTTCATTAAATCTGATAAAGAACGTAATGTTTCTTTCTTTATCATTTACGGATATTTACTCTTTCCGCAGGTACGTTGCCGGAGGATGTTTGGGATTTCTAGCAAAATAACGGTATAGTATTTATGATGGTTTTAGAATTCAGAAAGTAATGGAAATGGTCCGTGAGTTGCTGCTGTTGTTTGTGTTGGTATATTTTTGTTTATCTTTTTTCTATTATTATTATCGTTAATGTTATTAGTAGTACTAATAGTCTCTCTTAAGTGACTGAAGAAAAACTAATATTTTAAAACACCGATTTTTTTTTCATTAGGATGAGCACAAAGTTGTGGTTAGAGACAAGTGCCGAAATGATCTTTTATATAGCCTTCTTTCGCAGTTTAAGTTCACCAACGTTAGTATAAGTGTATATGTAAAGTATGTGTAGTAAATTTAAGATGATATATTCATGCTGTACAAATTGTTTAGCAATTAAGATGTTAACAATTTTCATAACATAATATTTCTTGAATAGTTTACCCTGAAGGTTTATAAAAGAAAACGAAGACCTTACCAGAGAAAACTGTTTTGGTAGGGTGGGTGACTAAAGCATTTTTTATCTACAACTAATTTCTAAACATATTTTACGATATTTGCTCAGAAGACTTACACGCGATTGTGGTATCTTTGGATTCCTCTCGCCCTCTATTACTCGTATGTGTAGGAATTATGCCTTGCCCCCCATACTCCACAAGTAGGGAGGTCATGAATGTTACCAGGAAATTTGCGTGGTACGTACAACAGGGAGAGGAATGTGCTGTACCTCTATGTACGGATGATAGGATATTTATTGCAAGGAATTGCGTCCCTTTCGATTCCCCGTGGGGTTGGTCGACCCCCGACCCTGAATATAAAGAATCCTTCACGTATTCACGGTAGGATGGAGTTTACGACCGATATGCAGGATCCCTATGGGTTGCTCTCAGCCCCATCACATCCTATCCTTGGAACACAAAGAATCCTCCCATGTATTCGGAGTAGTATTCTGGAAATGCTCCATATTATGGAAAATGCTCACTTTTTATTTCATAGTTTAGTTTGCAGGGGCAAGTAGTTATCCAGTGTGTATCATATCCTGTAATCGCTAAATAAACGCATAGCACGCATATTATCGGAAGGCCCAATGCCTCATCCTGCCATATATACCTGGAGGATTCTTTTTTATTCCAGGGCGGGGATCAGGGGAACGCAGGGGATGAGGCTAACGGCCGCGCTTAAGTACTGTGAACATTTACCATTCTTACTTCATTTATTTATGTAAACATGCATATATTATTATTATCATTAGTGTCTCTGGAATGAATTCATAGTATAAAAATGTCTATAATAGGATTGTAATGGATACCGATTAAGTTTACGAGAATTTAGCTGTACAGGGAAAAGTGTATTGTAGTGTTTATATGTAACGTGATATTCATAATAATTTGACTATAAACGTTGTTAAAACATATAAAAATGTTACTCCTCGTATAGATACCGTTTTCTGTGATAGAAAATTATCGTCGCGTTTTCTCTTTTGAATTTAAGCGTATACTAAAACATATCATATCTTAATGTTTTGCCATATCTTCGGTATTGTCGTTGCGGTAATTTGTTATTAGTAAATTAAACAAAATGTGCATTTATTTTTCGGCATTTAGTAATTTGCGGTTTGTTTGTTATTTTTCAAGTTCATAAACGCATTTTATTCCCTTAGCAATTATTAAATAACCATTGATACTGTACCGTATGACACTGCATGTCCGCTTAGATTTAAATTTAGTGGTTTTCTAATATTTGGCAAAATTAATATGATTAGTGGAATTTGGTCATTTAATCACGGAATTTGTTTGATAAATGAAAAGCGTAGTTCCAGGGTTAGGTTAGGTCCATATTTCTTCATTTCATTTTCGACAGTGTTCAGTAGGCCTACCTCATGTTGACAGACAGGCCCTTAAGAAATCCCCTGAGAATGTAAGACGTTGTCAATAGACTTTTTTTTTTTATTGGAGTAAGTCTATTGATTTTGGGACACGCAGATCCGGAGGCGAGGTAGAGCACGCGCCCTTCCAATTCTACAGAAGATAAAACACAAATTCAACACTAGGATTTCTTTTCGTGTTTTACGTGTTATGTTGATTGACGCCTTTCCTGAATTTGGCTTCGGGGGATTTCTTCAGCGATTTATATTGTTTTGTTTGTTGTTTTTTTTTTCCTTCTTTAATTTATCTTTCCTTTTTACCGACTCGTTATTCTCTTTGTCAGTTTTTGCTCTTACTCTCTGCTACTGTTTGGCATCTTGTTCTATATTTTCTTTCTCCGTTTTCTCCTCCTCTTTCCGTGCTCTTTCTCTTTCTTCTTCCTCCTTCTCTTTATCATTCTTTGCTCTTCCTCTTGCTAGTGTTTGGCATCTTGTTCTATATTTTCTTCTCCGTTTTCTCCTGCACTTTCCGTTCTCTTTCTCTTCTTCTTCCTCTTCTCTTTATATTTCTTTGCTCTTCCTCTCTGCTACTGTTTAGCATCTTGTTCTATATTTTTCTTCTCCGTTTTCTCCTCCGCTTTCCGTTCTCTTTCTCTTTCTTCTTCCTCCTTCTCTTTATCATTCTTTGCTCTTCCTCTCTGCTAGTGTTTGTCATCTTGTTCTATATTTTCTTCTCCGTTTTCTCCTCCACTTTCCGTTCTCTTTCTCTTTCTTCTTCCTCCTTCTCTTTCATTCTTTGCTCTTCCTCTCTGCTAGCGTTTGGCATCTTGTTCTATATTTTCTTCTCCGTTTTCTCCTCCACTTTCCGTTCTCTTTCTCTTTCTTCTTCCTCCTTCTCTTTATCATTCTTTGCTCTTCCTCTCTGCTAGTGTTTGCATCTTGTTCTATAATTTTTCTCCGTTTTCTCCTACACTTTCCGTTCTCTTTCTCTTTCTTCTCCTTCCTCCGTCAGCAGGGTGTGAAGGTGATTACGCAAGGTGTCTGAGGAGGAGCTTCGGTCAAGAGGTTGTGATCGTTGCGGCTTTTGTGTATTTTGTTTGGGTTCGCGTTTTTGCGGCGCGTCTTGTGCTTTTTTTTTTGTTTGGTTTCTTTTATTGCTGTGGGGGGGAGGGGAGGTTTTTGTTTTGTATTTGTTTTCTTGTTTTTTGCTTTTTTGTGTGTCTCGGTTTTGTTTCTTTCTTTCTCTTTCTCATCCTCTCTTTCTCTTTTCTCTCTCTCTCTCTCCCTCTCTCTCTGACTCTTTCTTTCTCTTTCTTTCTCTCTCTCTCTCTCCTCTCTCTCTCTCTTCTCTTCTCTCTCTCTCTCTCTCTCTCTCTCTCTCTCTCTCTCTCTCTCTCTCTCTCTCTCTCTCTCTCTCTCTCTCTCCTCTCTCTCTCTCTCTCTCTCTCTCCCTCTCTCCCTCTCCCTCTCTCCCTCTCAATGTTTGACTAATAGCCTTTACATAAATATAAGCATAACCAGTTAGATAGATGCGGTAGCATCTTACCCTGGCTTTTTACAGGGCATGTACACTGTTCTGTAAGTAAATATTATCAAATCAAATCAAATCTCCCTCTCTCCCTCTCTTCCTCTCTCCCTCCCTCCCTTCCCATTCCCTCCCTCCCCCCCTCTCCTCTCCTTCACACCTCGCTTTCACACACTCCTCACACACACCCTTACCCCCCCCCCCCCCCATCCTTACTCCATTAAAACCCGGAGCCAAAGCGCTGTACACTTTGCATGGCTCACAATGCGCGGGGTTGAGTTACGCACGGCAGTTAGGCGCGTATTGGAGGTGTCGGTATGTCGTCGGGATCGTGTCCGGATCGTCGGGACATTTCGCGGCGTCGGGGTATGATCGCGAGGTAGGCCTAGGGGGCTCACCGCTCGGCCCTATATGTGTGTGCGTATACGTCGGGTAGTGTGTCTGTGGATGGCGGTTTTTCTCTCTCCTCCCCCCCTCCTTTTCTCCTTCCCTTCTCGATCCCCTCTTCTCTTTCTCTTCTCTCTCTTCCCCTTTCTTTGTTGAGGGAGATGAATGTCGCGATTAAGGTAAGGGAGGTGGGGAAGGGGAGGGGAGGGGAAAGGGAGGGCTGGGGAGGGAGGAGGGGGAGGGGAAGGTGGATAGTGTGCTGATAATGCATGTCAATGTAACTGCT